CACACACACACACTAAGGAAATGACAGAAGCATGAAAACAACCCAGCTGACAAAGGACAAAGTTATCCTTTCCCCAATGCTCATCTATTCCCTATCTGAGCCTCAGATTCCAAGACAGATTCCTCTGTCTTCTCACTCATTTCTCAAACCCCTCAAGTCCAAAAGAAGATCCATATTACACAAACCTAATGGGATAGACCGGATGGTCTGTCCCGGAGTGAATAAGGCTGTACCCCACCCCCACTGTCTAGGCCCCCTGTGAGGGACACAGTTGTGGGTTATTTCCACACAGAGCTAAAGGAAGCTGGTAGAAATGCCAGGAATACACTTTACCCAAACCCCAGTTAGTAAAAACTCACCTCGGTGCCACTCAAGGAGAAGGAAGTATGCATGTAACCAAACCATCCGTTTTCACTTTTTCAACACAACTCCACTTTGACTGCCTTAATGTAGACACTGGGATCCTCCACACAGTAGATGCTCCGTAAATCCCGGTTGGTAAGAAAGGCAGAGGGATGATCTCAGAGGCAGGAAAGCATCCATGATCATTTTTCACCCTTGTACAGACACAGAAACTAACGTTCAGAAAGAGATGGCCATTTGAGAGGCAACTTTAGGATCTGGGGTTGCCAAGTCCTCAACACCATTTCTTTCATACCCAGAATTCCTGAAGTCACTCCTGAATTGCTACTTGCAGTGGGAGGTGGGACAAGGGAGGAAAGCTTGGATACTTGGTCCTCTTCCCCACCATCCGTGTCTACACCCCCGGCCAAGCTGCACCTTGTTTTCTGGAAGTTCATGTTTGCTTTACTGTCCCTCCCATCTTCCACCAAAGCTGGACACTGCGGGACTCCCGAGCCTATCGTCAATGGACACATCAACGGTGAGAACTACAACTACCGGGGCAGCGTGGTGTACCAGTGCAACGCCGGCTTCCGCCTCATCGGCATGTCTGTGCGCATCTGCCAGCAGGATCATCACTGGTCGGGCAAGACCCCTTTCTGTGTGCGTAAGTATGTCATCCTCTCTGCCTAGTCATGGGCTCAGACTCAGCATGGATGGGCTCCCTTTTTCTCTTGATTAGATTAGCTAGTGGGGGCTGGGGGGTTTCTCTGTAGTTGTTATTTTTCTTCCAAAGATGAAATCAACTATTCTTTATTATCTATTTCCTTAGGATTTCTCTGGCTTTCCTTTTTTTGTTCATTTTTGAGTTGGAAATTTAATCAGTTACTTTCATTCTTTCCTTGGTACTGATTTTAATGGATGTAACTGTTCAAGGCTATGGAATCTCTTCTGCTCACTGCGGATTGATTCTAATAATGCATATTTGCTACTCATTAAAAATTCTGTAATTTTGGTTTTAATTTTTCCTCTTACCTACGAGCTTTTTAATAGAAGGAGTTTTAAATTTCTAGGTCAGAGGGCCTTTTCGTTTGTATTATGTTATTCATTTCTAATCTTATTACTCTGTATACAGTATAATCTACTTCGTGGAGACCTAATGTTATGAATGTTCTGTGTGTACTTGAGAAGAAAGAGCATTAGGGTGTAATGTTCTACATTTATATATATTCATAAGCGATAGCTTGTTGATTATGTTGTCTATGTCTTCTGCATTGTTACTTATGTTTTGTCCACTGGACGTGTTTTGTTCTGAGAGATGTGTATAAAGTTTTCTATTATTTGTGTGTTTCTATTTTTCCTTTTGTTTCCTGTAGTTTCTGTTAAATAAAGGTGGTTGCTGTGTTGTTTGATGCATGGATGTTCGTAACTATTATATCTCCTTTGCAATTTGTAGTTTTGAGCCTTAAAAGATGACTTCTTTGTCACTTTTAGTATTTTTTAGCATGAATTTTACCTTGCTTGATATTAGGCTTGCAACCTCTACTTTCATTCTTTTGCCTGGAATCCCATTGATCATTCATTTATTTGAGCCTTTCAGGATCTCTTAAATTCAGTATGCTTCGTATACAGCGTAGATTGGGCCTGGCCTTGTGAGCTAATTTTGAAAATTTTTTTCTTTTGATAAAAAATTAAAAAACCTTTGATAAAAAAGGTGGCTTACACTCATTCACATATATTGATATGATTGATTTGATCTTAATTCCGTTGTGTTTTATGTAATTATTATGTGTAAAATATATTTATGGTATTTCTCTGTATGCATTTTCTTTTCTTCCCCACTCCCCCCATTTCTTTTGGTATTTAGGAATTTGTTCTGTCATTTGCTTTTGTAATTATAACATTTTGATGCCAGTAGCTCCTGTTTTCTTATTTAACTTTTTATTACCTACTAGGTCAATTTTCAATAGTATGCTTTGACTTTCGCCTATTGGCCACACAACAACCAATGAGCTTCTTTCCTGTCCTCTCTCCTTTTCACTTTTAATTGCATCGTTTGTACTTTTCCAAACCATAAAACGTTTATTATAATGTTTATATGTCATTATTCTACTTTTCTTCTGGGTAGGATAACGAAGTCCATTGACTTCTACTTTTCTGTTTTTCTTATTTTTTTAATTTATTCCTAGCTCTACAATTAAATATATTAAAAACTCACCTAAGCTTCTGATATTTTCCCAGTCATCTCTTAACAGAGCCAAGCTCAGTCTATTGCTGATTCACTAAGGCTTCCTTTGCATAATATTCCCCATGCTCTTGCATGTTTAAAGCTGTTTTTCTACACCCAGGACAGCCAAAAGCCTTGGCCACTTCTTTCTTTG